ATTCCTGCTTGTTGGCGCGCGCCTGTGAGGACATTGTAATGTTTTCTGTATCTGCTGCTACCACGTACATGAAAAACCATAGTATGGCAAGCTAAATGCTTGTTGAGAGACACAGAACACTTACCAACAATGGAAAAGAGATGTGATGAAGGCTGGATTTAAGGTTTCTGTACCCTGGTGACAAGTGACAGCCCCGAGAGGTGTCTGGACTTGTTCTCTAGTGCCGCCTTCTGGCTGATCACCCCTAGAAAAATAAGTCAACAGGTCCCCCGGCCAGGTGACAACATATAAAGAAGGATTAACTGGCTTTCCAAAAAGCACATGGAGAATTCCTCCCTGCAGCCTAACTCGAATCAAAAATACTGCAAGAACGGGAGGGAGTCAGGTCAGCCAGGGCAGCGTAAGCCATCGTGCTCAGCCGAGGGCTGTTCTGCCGCCACGCGCGGGAAATGCAGTTTTCTCTCCTGGCCTGAACGGGTCCCTTTCAGCAGTGACTCGAGGTTTCAGTTCTGCGATATCTGTGAGGCAAGGTTCGCTCTCTGGAATCTGGTTATCTCTATTTTCTCCAAAGCTGTGTTAGGTAAGTCAAGGGCAAAAAATAATGGATCTGTAAACAACGTAGTTACAAGTATTCCTCTGATTACGAGTATCTCGTAGGTATTACAATCTCCAAAATAAGAAAGTGGAATTTTGTGATTGATACCTTTTTCTGAAGGATGTGGATTATGGGATCTATGCTTTACAGTGGTGTCAGAAGATTTGTGACTTGGAATAGCTTTGGGGAGAATGTGAGCATGGCCGTTTTGCACTACTGAACCATAACTAGGAGAAACATTGCAGGGGCTGGGATGGCAGGTCCAGCGCCAGTTTGGGACTGAAGGCCGGAGCTCTCTGACAGAGCAGCAAGGGCTTAGGATCATTCTGGAGCGGTCATCCATATCACATCCCACCTCTGTGATCCCAAAGCATAGCTAAAGCTCGGGGGAGGCAAGGCAGCGAAGCCCTTGCTCAGTCAGGGCACCCTCGCCTGGGAGCACAATCGGAGCCCCAGCAGCCATGAGGCGGGAAGAGCAAGCCCCGCCGCCCTGTGGCAAAGAGGAGCCCCGGGAAGGCCGCCGTGCAGGGACGGCCGCCCTCTTTCTTATTTAAGCCGCTTTTAGGGAGGCTCCCCGCCCCCGCGGCGCGTTGACAGCTCGCCTCCACCCGCCGGGGTCGGCCG